CTGTTTCACCATAAATGATGCTGGTCTGAAAGGCATCTCTCATTAAAATGCCAGGCAAAGGCAAAAAAAAAGTACTTATTTTAAATAAAACACATTTATTTCTGTTAGATCCACTTAAGAGTCTTCAAAATAAAATATATTCCCAACAGCATTTACTTTTTGCTCCTTGTCCCATTCATTTAATGTACAAGACACTATTAAGTTTGGACAAGAAAGCTGGACACTTTGGTTTCATGTTTAGGGTAACAGCAGTATGTTTATTTATCAAAGACATTACACTAACATCACTATTTCTTATTTAACTTCTGTTACTTCACAAAGAAAAATGTATCTTAGATTAGAGCCAAAAGTAAATCAAACTTAATCCTAAATTACGCTAAACCTTTAAAGAGGTTTGGATTGATTAAGGCCCACTCTATCAAGCTACTCCATACAGACAGGTCTCCATTTGTAGTATTTACAAAAGGACACACAGCAGTCCTCACAAGAGAATGACTCTACAAAGATCCTAGTCACAAAAAGCATCACAGATCTCTAGCAGCAGATACGGAAGACAACCCCACTCTGCTTTTCCCCTAAATACTAGAATACAACAAACCCTTCCTCCCCATCAGTAGATCTGAAAATATTTTACCTAAATCCATACACTAACAACCCATATCCTAAACGTCACTATTTGCAAATTTACATTATCAAGCCTGTGGTGCAAAGAAGCCATCTAGAAGTGAGATATACCCTTTCAGATGTACTGTCACCATTATTTCACTGCAGTAATATATTCTTAGTATTCTCAAAGTTCAACTGTAGCATTACTTCCAACCTCAATGATTTTACAATGCCAAATGTCTCCAGGACATGCTCCACAGAGCTTTAAATCCTCATACAAATAAACTTGTATAAACTGAACTGAGACAGAAAACAATCTTTTGAGAATCTACATAGTATTACAGAAGTATGTGTTCCTTCAAATGAACAAATTAGCCTGCAATATAACTTTTTGAATTTTGAGTAATTTTTCTTCCATTTTTTTAACCATTGTGGTTCTTCAAATAGCTACTTAACTACTTATGCTTTGAATTCTTAATCTATTTTATTGGGGATTCTCCATAAATAGAGTATGTTTGCAATACAGTAGAAATTAAACACATTTGAACAAGAAGAACAGTAACAGAAACACAGATTACATATATATCTGTTCTCTCAGGCCTTACCCTGAGGAGTAAAGACAGAAAAAATATATGTGCACATGACAGCCTAAATGCAAGAGGTCAGCCTCATCTTTTTTAGCTTTATTCGTTACATGAGCCCACTGACTAACTACATATTTGAGGAAGAGGGATATGCAGATATCCAGAAACAGCTACGAAGAAAATACTTTTGGAAACTGAATAAACACATACATTCAGCTGAGTATTCATCAAGAAAGGCCATGACAACAGTTTTCAGGAAACTGTGCAGTTGAAAAATTAATTTTGTGGAGTTTTCCTTAATTACTGCAATAAAAGCAGGATTGAACGCCTCTCCTATGAATCTGTCTGTACCCTGTACCAGGAGCTGCAGATCCCATGAGATCCACAGGAAAGCAGGCCTTGTGAGCTCTAGAGTTCCCAGCACAACCAAAGCTTCTACAGATGTCAGCTGTCACTGGACACATGCACAAATCCCAAACACTGCAAGGGGAACACTGAAAAGCTGCCTGAAGGTATGCAAACTTTTTACATAGCAGAATGCATTTTAAGTCTGATCAGACCATTCATTTACCTAGTCCGATGCTTACACAGTAAGAACTCCATCAAAAATTGATTAGCACTCTTTTTCCACCTCTTTCCTTTAGAAGGCATGTTTCATCGAACTCATGGGGAATGACTGCAGTTGTACTACTTACAAGGATGAAATCTGATATGGACCCTCCAAAGTGTTTAAGTGTGACAGGCCCAAGTTCGTATTTTTAGCAAGCTCATAAAGCATTACTGATAATCTGTGAATAAGTACAGCAAATAAACAAAGCAACTGAAATCCTATCAAAAGGAAAAACATAGTCCTCATAGTCATTTTCCTTGTACCAATGGCAAAGATGCTGCTCATCAGGAATAAGACATCTCTCTCATCTGAAACTTCTTGGACCAGAATGCCACATGGATGCAGAGATAGGTCATACTCCAAAAAGACTTTCAAAGCAAGACTAAAGCTGTGATTACTGGATTCCACATACTTACTTCTTTTATGATTGTGCAGAAACCCTTACAGCTGTTCTGTACAGTTTATGAAAACAAAGTAACCAGAGACATTATTTACATTTGCAACATAAATGTCTTCCTTTTTATGAGCCAGCTTAATACAGACATCACTACACTCATCCCAACTGAGCCTTGGCAGCAGTTAGGAGAGAAAAGATGATGAAGAGTGAAAGTGTTTAAAGCCCAACTGATTTCTCCTCAACTCCTACTGGTTCCCCCTGCCCTCCCAGCCACTTCCAGCCCGGCACTTGTTCGCATCTCCCGACACTGCAGAGAGCTCCCTTGCAAAAGCTTCCTCAGAACACCTGAGAGGAGATTCGGAAAAGGTTATTCAAAAAAAAAAACAAAACCACCAAAAATTAAGCTAAATGAACGTTCACAAGTCGGCACGCTTCACCTAGCTTACACCAGGAACAATGGAGACGCGGGTAGCGGGAGGATACGGCCGCCCGGGAAGATGAGGCCAACGGGACACGGTGCCAGCCCGCCTGTCCGTCAGTCTGCAGCTCCCCAGTTCTTTGTCTGTCCGTCTGTCAGACGGCCCCACTGGCAGCGCCGGCCCCATACCGACCTCCCCGGCGAGGCCTGCTTGGCCCCGCCGCGGCCCCGCGGCTCCCGGCCCGCCGCGCTGGGGGCCGGCTCTGCCACGGAAGCCCCGCCACCGGCCGGGGGGAGAGGAAGGGAGCTCTCGGCGCCCACCCCGCTGCGAGGAGCGGGGAGGGAGAGCGCCTGCCGCCTCTCTCCTCATTCCCCACTCCTCGGCCTCTCCGCCAGCGGGGCCAAGCGCGGCCCATGCGAGCGGGCCGCGCCGGGCCGCTCTGAGCTGAGCCGCGGCTCCCCCTTCTTTTCCTCCCCTCACCTCTCCTCCTCCCTCCCTCTCTCTCGCTCTCCGTGCACCTCCCGCCGCCGCGGCGGGCAGGCAGGAGGGCCCAGCCGAACCCGGCCAGCTCCCGCTCCCGCCCGGCGGCACTTACCGGCCGCACAGCTGCGAAGAGAAGGCGGGCCGGGCCGGGGCGCGGCGGCGGCTCAGAGTGCCCGTGCCGCGGCCCCCGGCATGGCGGGGCGGCGGCAGGGCGCGGGGGGGAGGAAGCGGCGGCAGCGGGGAAGGGGAGGCCGAGGGGAAGTTGGCGACGGTGGCTCCTTCCTGCTCCGGCGGGGCGAGCGGCGCCTTCCCTCAGCCTCCTCCTGGCGGTGACAGCGACAGCCTGGCCAGAGCGCCGCCGCGCCGCGGTGCACCATGGGAAACACGCCCGGAGGACCGGCGGGTGCTCGGGCGCTGCGGGCCGGCTACGCGGCGAGGAGAAGAGGGGAGGGAAGAGGAGAGGAGAAGGAGAGTCGGGCAGCGCCGCACCGGGCCGGGCCTCCCGCGGGGCCGGGACCGAGACCGAGGCGGGCGGTGCCGGCGGCCCGGGTTATGCGTGGGTCAGGAGGCTGGCGCGGCCGTGAGAAGCCCCGCCGGGCGAGCGCTGCCCCGTGCGCGCCCTAAAGGAAGGTGGGGCGGGAAAGGCCCGCGGGCTGCGCGGCGTAGGTGGCCAGGCCTCGGGGAGGGGATGGAGCTGCCGGAGAGGCTGGGGGTGCGCCCCCCCAACTCCCGGTATCTTTCCAGCGGCTTCATTTCTGGGAGGACGGGGAAACAGAACGGTCCGGCGGTGCCAGGGAGGAGGCTGAAGTAACCCCTGGCCTCTCGCACCCCGCTGCTTTCGGGTGAGGCCGGGGCATTCTGAGGCAGAGGGGCGCGGGCCTGATGGGGGAGGCACTGGGTCACGGGTGTGTTTATGGAGGGGTTGGCTGTGGAACTCCTGGGACTTCCAGAGCCATCGGGAAGTCCTGAGATGAGTTTTCTGCGCTGTAATCTCCATAACCGTGATGTTCTCCATGACCCTACACAGTAAACTCTGTAGAGAATTGCCAGAGGCCAATCTTGAATCCCGTGCATTCTGTGGAGTAGCTGTCCACCTAAACTGTGTGCGACTTTACAGCTCTTGACTGTGCATTGGTCTCTTGCATCTCCCAACTTCATTGCTTCTAAGGGTTACCAACTCTTCCACGTTTCTGTAAATAAAGTCTTTAGGCCAACAACGCACTTAAACACATTCTTAACTAAATTGCTTTATGTCACTTGCTTATAATTAAGCATGTGCTTAAACTCTCTGCCGGATTAAAGCCAAAATCTGCATAAGCTCTATTGGGTAAAATTTACCAGCTTCATCAGGCTTAGCTTTGTGAGTCATTCAATTAGCAGCAGCCCAAAGCTTTTTGCTACAAGCTTAAGTTATTCCCAGGTTGTCCTACAGGATCTCCCTGTCTCCATGACAAAGCTTATGCCCTTCGTTCAGGTCCTGTTAGAAGTAAGATGCATCTGCCTGGTGATTCAGCTTTATGTAGGGTTTCCATATCCTTTAATGAGGTGCATTAATAAGATTGTGTATCCTTATGCAAGCCATAGGTCGTGCCGTTGAGTTACAGTGTAATAAGCTGCATTAAAAAGAAAATAGTAATGACATCAGGGCCCAGTTTGAAGGTCTGCCCTGGCTTTATGCAGTACATGTATTTCAAGATGATTGCGTCAAGTATTCATTCTGCATAAGCAGAGGAAGGAGTTAATAAAATGTAGCTACATTTCATGCAGTCATCTACAATTTTACATAAATACAAGAAACGCTATCAACCTGCATGCCGAATAAAATGGAAAACTATTCAATTTCCAAAAATAGAGTTTTAGAAACCGAGCGAAAATGTACGTTTGTGCAGCTTTGATTTTCTTTTTTTTCTTCAAAGACACTTAATTTGGTGACTATTCATTTTTACCTGTCAAAAAAAAATCCTTTGCATTTCATTAAGTCTGAGTCAGGAAGCTTAGCGCTAAGGCCTTATTTTAAGATACACTGTGGAATTAAAGCTTTCTGCAGGGTGAGCACAAGTCTTTCTCCAAGGACACATCAGTTGGAACCTGCTTTTCAGAAAAATTTGTTTGGCAATTAACAGTAATATGAAGAAGAAAGCATGTCTTGTACTTAATGCAGAAAAGTAAGACTCAGCATGTTTGCGTCCTCTTATTACTCTCTTACCATTCTTCTATGACCTTCATCAAGACATGCTCCGATTTTCAAATGTCAGTTTGGGTTAGGGTGGAGTTTTCTGTTGTTGTTTCAAGAGGAACCGAGTGCCTACAAATTGTGGTGTTGAGCGAGAAGCCTACAGTGCTTTGTTCATCTGGAAGTCCCCCCAAGCGAGGCAGAGGATAGTGAAGGAACACGTCAGACCTTGGACCTTTGCCACACAGATTTTCAAATGATGACAGTTGCTCACCAAGCCACCCAGCTGTGGCACTGACGTTTGTATTGGTGTTTTGACACACCTTAAGTACTATGGTGTTTTAATGGTTTGACATGACAAAATAGAAAAGGAATATATAAAGCCAAGAGCTTGAAGAGCTTAAAAGAGCACTTACATTTTGACCTTTTTGTTCGTTTTCCTCATGCCACTCTGGGAATAGCAGGCAAATGCCGCTTTTCCCTAGGGAAAAATTTAAGAGTCTTTAATATAGTCTTCCCTATTGCTTCTGAATTCTGGAAGTTACCCAGAGAAACCCTCTAAATGGCAGCGTGTGTGCAGCGTGGAGCACAGTGTGGTTCAGTTTACCTTTTTTTTTTTTTCTCCTAGGAGGGCTAAATAATGGAAAGTGAAAGGCATTTCTCCCTCCTCCCCCCCCCCCCCTTTTGTTAATTCCTTTTTCTGTATAAATCAAAAACCCAAGAAAACCAGGAAGCACAAGTAAGCTATCTATTAAAAAGTGTGGCTTTTGGGAAGTGTTGGAGAATATATGTGTGTTTTAAAATGTCTTAAACAGGAAGTGGCTTCAGAAGTAACTGTAGAATAAGCAGAACCATCTTCATTTGGCCTCCTGCGTGACAAAACTGATGGGTTTCATTCATTCAATTTATGCATCAAGCCAGTAACTTCTAATGAAGCAGCAGCTGATCTGGAAAGATCCAGTCTGGGGATTTGAGCAAGAAAGCCACTGGTTAGGTAGGTTATTGAGATGGCCACTTAGCCCATCTCTTAAAATTATGCCTTCATATTTGTCTGAGTTCATCTAGCCTGAGCTTCTAATCATCAGTTTAACCGCAATAGCTAAAAGACTGTGTATCAGAATTTTAAATCAATTTTCCAGCTCTTGCTTTATCCTTTTAACTCCTTTTAAATCCTCTTACAGCTTTTCAAAAAGTATTTTTTGCTTCCTTGAAAACAGTAGTAGTGTGGCCCAAGATGAATCCAGGAGGAAGGATGGGGCATTAGGGTGTGGAAATACACAGTTCATCTTCCCCAACCACACTAAACCAGCCTTTTCTGTGCTTGTGGAATCACCAAACAAGTGAAGTTAGTAACGTCGGTGGAGGATGAGAGGAGCTTGACTTTCAGAGTTAACAGATGTTTTCTCCCTCACCCACTTGAATTATTCTTGTAGTAGGAAAGTTAGTTTAAACTTGAGTGTCAGTGCATCTCACCAGCCTACAGGCTGGGCATGACCTGAAATACGGCCTGGAAGCCCTTTGAGAAAAATCGTAACTGCATAAAGGAACAGTAATCATCATTAGCACTAAACCCAGGATGGAGAGCAAAAAGTAAATATAAATGGCTTGTTGCCACAGAAGTGGAGTTAAACACTACTTAGTCCTCATCACAGATTTAGGTTTTGTTCCCTGTTCGGCAACACAGCCAAGTACATGTCTAACTTCAGAAATGCAAATATCTCATTAAATTAAATGGAGCTATCAGATACTGAATCAGAAGGAAAACTGAATGCCTTCTCCAAATTCTCTCCTTCCCTCCATCCTTGGTCCACTAAGATCACTGCAGCCCTGGTTAATACTAGTACGTGCCAGTGATAAAATGAATGGTGCTTCAGAAATGCCTTGATGAATGCCTGACATTTCAACAGTGGATGCAATTAGGGAATGATTGCTATTGAAAGCTAGAAAAAAAATCCATCTATTTTTTTTTTAATTCAAGTATTTCACCAAGGCTTTAGCTAGCACAAATATTCAATGCAGAAAATTAAATTAGTCCATTGTCTGAGCATCTACTCACTTTGTCTGTAAATTGTTCCTCTTCATTTCAGCATCCCTGATTGAATTTTTATTTTAATTGTATTTTTTATAGCAGACTTTCAATTCATGATCACACATAAGCCTGACTCAATTGAGTCTGTGTTGTCCTGTGTTGCTAGCAGATCAGGAATCAGTAGTGATGCTGTCAGTCACGTAGTTGTATGCTATGCATGTCCTGACATTAACTAATGCAGAGAAGTGTGATGGTACTGTATGTCTCAAAATACCTGTACATGTGATGCTTGTAAACAAAAATAATTAATTATGGAAAATATTGGTCAGAAGGAGAGGGAGCATGCACCTGGCTCTTTAACTTGCTCCTGCAATCTTGCTGTTCCCAAATCTGTTTAGAGGAAAAATCTGTTCCACCTGAGCCCTGAAGAAGTCTTCACATCAGTTTCTAATGCCACAAACACACCTGACTTGACTCATTCATTTATTTTACAATAATACAGAAGCTTAAAGTGCTTTAAAACTTGAGCTGAAGACATCACAGAAACACCAGAGAAAATGAAAAGTAATGGTTTGGTGAGAGATACTCCTGTCTGAAAAAAAAAGTTAGCAAGCCAACATCAGTCAAGATGGTTTCGCGTAGACACAAGACATTCAGATATCTCTTAATATGTTTGACTTGGCCACACATGGCATTCCTGTAAAATTAGCATTATAAATCTCAAGATTAAAAGAAAAGAGAATGTTTAATATTCCATGCTGAGATGCCTAATAGACACAAAAAGCAACAAAAATGATAATAATGTAGTACTTTGCCTAACATAAATTGTCAAATGTCATAATGAGGTACAATTTAGAGAACCAATTTCTCTGCCTTAAAACACGAGTTATAAACAGAGCAGAAAACTGTCTACTCTTAACTTATATTAGCTGTCTACATAAGACATTTAAGTCAAATTAACTGCAGATGGGAAAGTAAGAGGGCCTTAAACTCCAGTATGAACACTTTAGGATTAAAACTTTCAGAATTAACTGTAAAGGAAACTGGGGATATTTTATCTGTAAAAGAGCATCCACACAGAGATTTGGTGGACTTTAACTAATGCAATTTAATGTCACACCTTTACTTAATTTATCTTAATCTTTTCCAAATGTCCCACTGCAGACAAGTTCTTTAGTTTGAAGTATTATGGTGGATCTAATTTGAAAGATAGCATTAGCTGAAGCATTAGCTAAAGGCTTGCCCATATGGGAAGGTTAGTCAGTGCAGAGGAACTAGCCACTTAATATCTGCTTTGTGTCAATAGCCTTTAGTTTATATTAAAGTGTTGTAGGCTGCGTCACGCCACCTGACATGGACTGAGAGTTTATGCAGAGCAACTACTCTATTTTAAATTTAGATTCACACCTCTTTATGAGTCTAAGATGTAATTAAAGCAAAACTCAAGATTCAAAGAGCATGTAGGAGACCAGATTGTGATAATGATGGGAGATTGATACTTATTAACCAAAAGTTCAAAGTTGAAACAGGAAAACAAAACAAATAAATAAATAAATAAGCCAAGCCTGTTGGAGATAACATGGAAACTCCTGAAAACAATGAAACCCAAGAGGTTGTACCTTCCCAGGGTGACAAGGATAAAGCCGTTATTCTAAAAGGCATGTTTCCATGTATTATTTGAGCCAGCAGGAAAGCCAACAGAGTAGAGAAATCTGAATCTATGAAAACCAGTAAAAAGGAAAATCTCAAATCTCAGTTGGCAGTGATGAAAGGGAAAATGAGAAGGGCACAAATGGACCTTGAATATGAAAATGGGAATGATTCTCAAAGTGAAGAAGTAAAAAAGCCATAAAAAGTTAGAATTAGAATTTACAAATTGCTCAACACAGCAAAAAAGGAAAAGTATAGGGTTTTGCAGTCTCGTAATAAAAAACACCATATAGTTACCCTCCCTTTACTGGTGTCCTCTGGTAGTACTCTCAAAAATAGCATCAGAACAATAAGGAAATGCTGGAACAAGGAGGCTATTAACCATTCTCCAAATCACATAGAGCATATCCATGACTGTCAGAAGCTGGAACAATAGGACTGCCAGCAAAGCTATGGAGCCATACATCTTGACCTGAAAATCAGTCAGAATGGTCTTTCAAAGCCTTTGAAAGATTGTGTTATGGCAAGGTTTTGTAAATGAAAATCAGATCTCACTAATCCACTAATCTCTTAGAATTATTGATTGTATCAGTAAGGTAAGAATATAAAAAAAAAACCTAAGCTTATTTTGTCTTCCAGAATATATTTGACAATTTACAGTGTCAGAATTTGTCCAGGAGAGAGAAGGCAGAGAAGAGAGTTAAGTGGTCACTTTTCATCAGGGCATCGGGTTAACAACAAAGGCCTCAGCCTTCCCTCCTAAACCCATTTGTTGTTACAGTACAGATTGGGAAAAGACAAATGCTGAACTGGGATATGATAGATATAAAACATAGGTATGAATTTATGAAATTAACCAGGCCCCAGAGGGGATGAAAGGAAACTTCAGAGACCTTTAAAAAGCTAGATGAATGGACAATGTAATTGCCAAAGAAGTTCATTATATCTGCATTAAATTATGCATTTAGGAGAACAGGCAAACTGCTAAGATACCCTACAAGTGAAAAATGTCTAAGGAACAGCTTCAGGTGGGAGGTTCTAGTCAGGGAAAAGCAAGAAGGTAGAGCTGCTGATATGTAATTTTCTCAGGTGCCTTTCTCATAAAATGAGAAATGGACTAGAAGAAATTTCTCTAAGGCCAATGCCAGCTAATTATTAAAACCTTCTTGGAAGCAGTTATGACTGACTTTTCTTTCAGAATACAAGGGTGCACTGAACGGAATTGCTTAGGACTTGCACCAGACTATTCAATGGTTCAACTGGAGAATGAAGACTGCTAAGTTTTCAGATTGCACCAGTCTGGAGATGGCTGCAATAACGGCCAGGGTCCAGGTTTAGGTTCAGCCTCCTCCTGATAGTTTAGGAGTAAGGTGGAGAAGATGGAGCTCAGCTCAGTAAGGACAGAGAAAAGGACCTGCCCTGAATCTACAGCGGAGCTACAGGACAGCAGTATATCAGAAGATGGTTTAGTAGGGGAGTACGGCTGTTCATGAGCTATACATGAACTTACCTGCACACCATCCTGTTACGTATGAACTGGCTTATACCTCTTAAGACACAAAGGGATCATTTCCATTCAGTCTATACAGTGTTGTTTTCAGCTAGAAGTATTATGTCTGGTTTGGGGCATGAAACTCAGGAAAGACACGGCCCAGTCAGAAAGGACAGTAAGAATGATAAGAGATCTAGAACACATGACCAAAACACCTAGGTGAACTGCAGTTGTTCCGAAGGAGAATGCTAAAGGGGAAACATGATAAGAGTCTTCAAATATGTATCAGGCCATTGCAGAGACAAGTGGAAAAAGCTTCCCCTATTCATGGGAGCTACATAAATTGTAAATTGCAGCAAGGAAGCTTCAGGTTAGGTATTTTTCTGTCTTTCTAATAGCAAAGGTCACAAAACACTGGAATGGCCTATAGGGCTGTGGAGTCACCAGACGTCTTTAGGAACAGATTGGACAAATATATAGGGAATGCTTTAGGAAGTAACCTACATCATTGTCTTTGCCCCCAGGTGCCACCCAGCCTTGTTTACTGTTGTGCAACAGAAAGCTTAACAACTCCATCCTTTCAGTGTGCAGATGAAATGGGATGAAGAAAACGAAAAGGCAGACTATCTTGACACAGATCTGTGGCACAACCTCAAGCAGACTGCTGTGGTATAGCCATCCACAGCCATCTCAAAGAGACTTGGAACTTCAGAGGATTCAAAGAAAAGCAACAAGTAGGATCAAGAGCATGGCAATTCACAAAAGATTGAAAACATCTGGATTATTATCTTCAGAGAAAAACAGTGGAGAGAGAATAAAAGTACATGAAGTAATGTCTGGTACAGACTGATCAGGAGGTTCTCTTTTTCCTGTCTCATACTGTAGAATAAAGGGACTTTCTGTGAACTATCAAACTAAAGGTAGGATATTTAAAATTGAAAAATAAAAATTAAAACTAATAAAATAAAAAAAACAACAAAAAAAAACAACACCAAAGGAAGTACACAACAAGAGACTGAAGTGGAGAACTTCTCTGCTATGGTACATTCATAGCATTGATACTAAACCCAAAAGGATTCAGAAAGAAAATGTCTTACCAACATAGGTACATGAAACACCATGAACTCTCTGAAAAAAGTCTGGGTCAACTTGTGTGACATCAGCACTTTGCACCACCCTCTGCTGTCCCCCATGGGCCCTTCATGGTTGCACTCCATCCCTCTACAGCTGTTCCAGAGAGAAGCGACATGAGTCCCTGAAGGAGGATACTCAGCTGTCTGCCACCACCTGCAGTGCTCCAGCCAGTGTGAAGACCAAGACAAAAGCCACCAAACCCATCCCAGCCAGCAGCCCCCTAAACTACAGGGAAGTCCCACCGCAAACCCAGCTTAGCTGCTTCCTGTCGCAGAACAGGCATGCAATAGGGGAAAGTGGCCAAAAAGCCAAAGTTTCAGATATTGGTGTTTTAAAAGACAGCAAAGGAAACAAAAAGAAGGACGGCTTGTTTTTTAAGAGGCCACTGTGCATCCAAGTAGGCTGGGGACTGTCTGGTTGTACTTGCAGATCGCTGAAAGAACAGAGGATAGGTCTGATCCAAGTCCTTTCTGTCTTGGGTATCTGACAGTATCCTGAGTCAAAAACACTGCTTTGCCCCAGACAGGCTTCATAAAATCATGGCCTTGTTGTCATCCTACAAAAACTGATCTGCTGTATCAGGGAGGCACATCAAGCTGTTTCTGTATGTCTGACTTATCCAGTAACAGTGACAAACATTGTACCTATAAGCAGAACAGCAAAGGTCTTCATTGCAAAGTCTTACCCAAAGTTAACTTAACAAATATATTTAGTACTGAATAACTCCAACCGTTAAATTTTCAATTATTTATGCATTTCAGCTAGTGCATATGAAGAACTGAACTTGAAGGGTAATCAGTTTAAGGATGCATGTCAGACACATCCCAGAAATTTGGCCAGAAATTTGTTTAAAACACAAAGCAAACATCAAGAGACCATTTTCTGGGAAGGAATGTGGTGCTATGTGCAGGGATTAAGAAAAATGTGGCCCTTGTAATGCTGATACTTCACAGTATTTGACATGAGGAGAAGCATCATTCCTCAGCTTCTCTCCATGGGTCCAGTTTGGTGAGGAGAAGATGCTTCATGTGGTATGATCTCTCCATAGATGACCTGATTATCAGCAGCAGTTGTTTTTTTAACATGAGAGGTAGTCATGTGACAACACCAGGCTACTTTCACCTAACAGCACTGATGTGATTTTCAAATTATAGATGACTTCCAAGTAGCTTGATGGAAGAGCACTGTCTCTCCTGGTCTAGAGCTTACAATCTGTAGAGCATCACAGCTGGCACGGCATTTGTGAAGCCCCTTTCACACTGATATAAGCCTCCAGAAGGCTTCATTGAGGAATAAGGAGAACTAACCGTGTCGTGCAGGCAAGACCCTAAAGGAGGACAGCACACCCTCACATTTTGTGCCCCAGCAGATTCAGAAAGCCTGGGAGGTTGGTCAGGAAGCAGATCCATATAGTGCCAGCTCAAAAGGCCTCCAGAACAGCAATTACTGCCTGCTTGGGAAATCCATGGAGCTTGGCTGAGCCTTAAGGACAAACTAAAATGAAAGTGATCAGAAGAACATCAAAATGGTTGACTGTGGGCTGGGGATATCCCAGGCAATAAAGGCTGTTCAGCAGTTGCTGCTTTCCATCTGCAAAGCAGATGAGACTTCAATGCTAAGGATAATTTAAAAGTCAAATAAATGATTTAAAATGGCTTGTAATAAATAAAACCATGTTTCTTTTAAAAGTAAACTGCCCTTGTTTGCTGGTTGGATGCTTGCACACCAAGCCAGACAAGCAGATGAAAAAAACCTGGTCCCTGGGAGCAAGCGGAGGCTCTTTTTTATCCAGCCTGAGAGGAGCTGCAGTAAATGATGGAAGAAACATCCCATCAGTGCTTCATAGGACAAGTGGGAAAGGAGCTGGTGAGGGAATCGAAGCACGTAACTGGAGAGGACTGGATCTCTCTTTGGGTCAAAGCAGTGGGGGAAAGCCTTGTCCAAGACCAGAAGCCTTTCCTGCAGCCCCTCCAATGAGCTGATGAGCATTGTGGAGCTTCAGGTGGTTGTGCAGTTGGTCCTAACTGCTGGACAAAATTAACTCTCAGTTTTCAGAAGCCAAAGGCACAGAGGAAATCGACCCTGATAAAATACCTAGCAGATAAGCTTGTCAAAAATAAATAAATAGGGGCAGGAGGTTCTAGGTCACTCATTGACTACAAAAGGGAAAACCCAACAAGGTGACCCAAAATCTATACATCTCCAGGGGAAAAATTAGCTTTTTTAGGAAAGAGAAAAATCAACATATTATCAAAGACTCCTTATCAACACCAGTAGATGCAAGCTGACAGGGTGAAATCAATACCAGCTATCAGAATAGTTAGGCATGAAAAAAAGCTATGGCTTCCTTTGAAAAATGTGTATTTAGATGTTGATCAAGGATACTTTCATTTTGTCAGCTTGGCCATTTTTGATCACCTCACTTGGCATATTGAAGTAAAGACATGATAGTCGATCTCATTCCTAATTGCATGTGAGGTGGCAATATTTTGCAGATTGGTTCCTGCTTGGGAAATGTGTCTGTTTGTAGTACAGCCCACTTATGTGCCAAAATGGCTGCTTTTTCCTCACAGTTTACAGAGACATTTACAAAGCTGGAGATGTCAAAAATGAAAACATCTTGTGCTATAGCTGTGCATACTGATGAGTAGTCTTAATGGTGGTGAATTTGTCATGTAAAAATCAGTAAGTCAGTGTCCTTAAAAAGGAAGAAAACCAGGTCGTATTTAGTGCCAAAGTAGAGAATTGAAACCATTTTGGAGAGATGGTAAGAAAAAAAACCCAAATAAACAGATTAAAAACAACCCCCAAAAAAACACAAAGCAAGTTCAAATAATCATTTTTCTCTTATCTAGAATGTGTTATTGATGTAAGTTATGTTGGTAATACAAGTTACCTGAATCACAAGTAAAGAACTACAAGAGTAGGGTGTAGCACTGAGGGAGGCAGCATGAAAATATGAAATGCTAAAATAGCAAATGGACTGGGTCAAAACAGAAAGAGGATGTCACTGTGTCTTCACCACGGAAACATTGATCATAGACATATAAAATGGTCAATATTGCAGCTTCAAATTTTAGTCCAGAGAAAGATGATTTTCATAACAACTTGGAGCTATAAGAACATGTCCTTTGAAGCTAAAATAGAAGGCAGAAAAGGTACAATAATTGCACTTGACCTTGCAAGAGCTGTATCCTGAAGCCAGTGATGAACACTAGCCACCCACAGTTACATCAGGTCAAAATTCCTACAAGGTAGCAGCTCAGGGTCGTACAGCCCTTTAAAACACAACAGAGAAAAACCCCAACACAGGGTTGTCTGTCCATCCTCAAGTCTGTTGTTAGATGTAACAATGCAACCACCAACAGGAATATGATGTTCCTGATCTCCTGATGCTGAATTTGCACATCATCTTACCATTCGATGTAAGTTGTGTTTTAGATACAGCTAAATTGACAAATGAAGGAACGTTAACCTGAAATCATACACTGCAGCCAGGGAACCTGAGGGTGAGAGAGGGAGAGCAGGAAGCTGCTGTGATCCTTCCCTGTGGTATGCCTGCCCCCGATCAGGAGCTGCTAGTAAAAGCACCACTTTGCACGGTCAGGCTGTCCCTTTGTGTTTGCATAGTCTCCAGTGAGGATCGTGGTTTCGGTGTCAAGAAAAAGAAACCAACTTCTTTGCACGGTGCAAGTTTTTTCACATGTATAGTAAAGCCTGCAATAGCAAAACATCCGCAGCACAGAGCACACACCTAAATGATTAGCAAGTTTTTGTGATTCGTCTTAAACGAATTGTTCCCTTTTCCTCTTAGTAGGTCTTAAGTTTAAAGAAATTTGCATCAGAGTGTGAAAAAGAAATCTTAATCACCCATTAGGAAATGAGATGCTGGTCATTAAACGTTGCACTTAATTTAATTGTCATCACGTTGGGGTAAGAGCAGTGATGCTGGCACAAATCGAAGTTGAATTGTTCACAGAATACTCAAACTACACAAAATGTCCCCATTTTATCCCAGATCCACTGATGCAGCAGCCAAGCCTTGAAACCTGCTCACAAGCCCTGTTTGAGGAGTAGCATCCCTGGCGCCAACTTCAGAACACCACAGCGGCTGCTGTCTCCTGTGTGTTGCTGACTGCGCTGTGCCCTGCAACCCCCTGTGTCATGCTGTCTCCCCACCTCCATGGGTCTCCAGCAGTCTCACCAAGGTCCCCTACAAGGCATCGCTTCCTATAGCCTCCACACAGACTGGCACTCCCTTGTGCTGATAGCTGCGGGTCCTCGCTGCCCCCAGCCTCTACCCAATACCCTAAAACCCTTAAATCACTCTTTAAATTGCTTCCTCCCACAGGCCACATCACAGCCCAGCAGAAGCTACCAGCAACTCAGGTTTATTCCCCAGGGAACTTTTCCAACCTGGGAAAGGTGGGATAAAATACTGCCCACTGTCACATCACTAAGCACACTAAATTGTATCTAGGATTTATTCTAGGTCCTTTATAAGATTCCCTGTGTTTGCAAGTAACAAAAAATACAAGTAGCCAGGGTACAGCAAACCTGGCACCAGGAAAACAGGACCACGCTGGCTGCAGCACCTCCTTTGTGGTATGAAATAAGGGTTACTGAGGGTGAGGATGAAGAGGAAGCTGCAGCCAGGAGCTGGAGGAGTAAATCTGGCATCATCTGGCAAGTAATAAGAAGAGGCAGTAAGAAAAGCAGAGGAAGTGAGGGAGAGTGAAGTGGGAGCCAACTCACTGACACCTTTTGGAGACGTTGCACCTCCATCAAGCAGCTGCCCTCCAGCCCCTGCTGAGC